ACTGGTTGTTATCATGTCATTAATGTATATGGAACAAACCATGCCAATGTATCAATCAACAATCCAGTAACTGTTGATGTAATACCCAACACAGTATACACAAACATGCAATACACAACCAATGATATGATTGTTGACCCATTCACAATACTCGACAAACATCAACACACCGGAAAGTTTAAATTTATTCAAAATCAAATTGATTGGCAAGTCATCAACCTGAATCTGCTTTTGGTTCTTCAAATCTCAAACCATGCTCTTTCATAAAATCCTTCAATCGTTGTCTGGAATTATATACTCTTCTGCTTGCCGCTACATACTCTTTTTTCAATTTTTTTTCAGTGTTTGGATCGTACTTTGATCCTGATATTTCTTCTCCCATTGCTAACGCCAGATGTTGTTCCAATCCAAGGAATTGATAATCAGAATATTCTTTGCGTTTTTTCTTTTGTATTTCTTTAGACTCTACAAGCCTCTTCTTCCTACGTTCAAGGGTTCTCTGATATCTTGGGCTTAATACAGCTACTTGATCTGGAACAGTATTGGCAGACTCGCCTTCGTTCATTAGTTGTTGTTGGTCTTGTCTGGAAGTGCTTGGACTGGGTTGATCAATCGGTTGTTTTCGATCTCGTTTTGGAGCACTTGGACTGGGTTCATTAGTTGAGCCAGACGCTTGGCTAAAAATGCTTGGCCTGATTTCATTGATTGGCCGCTTCCGACTTCGTTTGGAAGTGCTCGGACTGGGTTGATCCATTGGCTGTTGCTGACTTTGTTTGGAAGCGTTTGGATCAACTTCATCAATTGGTCGTTGCTGGTTTTGTCTGGAAATCAGTAAATCAATCACATCAATTATGCGCTTTCGGCCTTGTTTGAAAGTACTTGGACCAGCTACAATCACAGTTGGTCGCTGGTTTTGAGTGGGAGTATTTGAACCGGGTTGATCCATTGGTTGTTGCCGGTATCGGTTAGAAAGGCTCAAATCCACTGGTTCTTGCCAGTCGTTGGAAGTGCCTGGATTAGGTTCACTGGTTGGACCAGACACTTGACTGAAAGTGCCTGATGTGTGGGTTGAACGATCGTTATCAGTCGGTATCAGTATTGCATTAGCGGTTGCTGCTGCAGTCAATACGAATAAAATATCAACCAATTTCATTAGACTGGTCAGTGAGTTTAAACTATTAATACAAAAGTAGAGTGTTGAGACTGATGTCGATTATAAAACTGGACACACTCGATTGTATTTGTATTTTTTGTATAGCAAACCAACCCTAACCCTTATAGGTTAACCAACAACACAGGGTTACTTGATTGCTTGTAGTGGGCCAATATCAAACTAGACAGTATGCTGCTCCCTAATCACAATATCATATTGATCAATTTGATGATCGTGTCGATTGAATTATGCTTTTACGACCCTTTGATCAGGTATATTGAAAAGCACCCTTCAGGAGTGTGTTGTGTAACCGCAAGTGCTTTGACTTACAACCGTATTCAAGTAAAATGGATCACTTTGATATTCATCATGCAATGACTGTATTCTGCATTGCAATATACAATGGTTACTACACATTGACTGCATTACTTGTTTGATATACAACAACCATCATCATGACACATAATCAGACTATAGTGTTGAATCTACATTTTGTGCACTCTTAGTAATCATACATTATACGATCACCAATTCTGAACCCACATTCATGTATTGTGTTTGACTGTCAATGTTGTCAATACAACTATGTACACACATTTGTTGTATTCTGAATCACAGATACGATCGCAATCTAGTTCAACAACAATCATGACACATGTCAGTAATGCAACTGTTTATTACACACCAACACTGTTATTTGGTGGTCCATTTACATCAATATGGCTGCAAGTTGTTGTTATATCACGTATTCTGGACATGGTTTTGATATTGCACATCCAGTTCCATCACATTGTTGCTGACCCATCATTGTAACGCTGTGTGTCCCCATAACCATAATCATGGACATGAGCATGTGGTTTCACGTATAATATTACAACCACGCATGTCGTTGGTTGCATCATCACTACTAGTGTATACTACACTACACTACATGTATGTTGGCATGTGTTGTACCAATTTGATTGCATTGCTACAATGTGGCATGCTCCAACCTGTTTGAATGACTGTTGTGCAACGTATTGGTATTGACCACATGTGATACTGGCCACCAACAAAGTGATCAGCGGTATTCGATCGTATCATTCAATCACTGACTGCCAATACTTCAATTATGAATATTATCCACCATTTCATGACACCATCTGATACATTCAGTGCACAGTAGCTGATTGGTGCAATATGATCAATTCAAGCATACTATTACATTGGAAATGGTGGTGATAATGCAAGGTGTTTATTGGACAAACAAGACTGAATGCTTACATGACAAATGCAAATTGACAGTATAAATCATATATACACACTGCAGTACAGCATATTCTAAACGAGGTTGTTGATAGCGTGATTCCAGTTTTACAATGAAATTGAATTACCAAGCAGTCGAGTGTTCAAACATTGATTTACTATACACTTTTAGTTATGGTGGTTTGCGTAGAAATGTTCAAGTATGCCTTCTATATCCAATGAACCTCAGCATCTGTCGTTTGAATCTATTAAACTTTGAACGTAATGAAGGAAGTTGAATATCATATTCTTGCAGTACACTAGATTCACTTGAATATCTAGCAATTTTAGTCGTTGGTACAAAGTGTACTTTAGCTTCCCTTGAGCCAGCATCGTGACTTGACTTTTGCTGATGTTTTTTAGAATGATCGTGTTTTGAGCCGTGGAGTTTAAAAGTGGATCCGGGTTTAAAGATGGATTTTAATTCTGGAGTAGGTTCAGATACAACTCTGATTGATTCTCCTTCGAGAGGCTCAAGAGCCAACTTGCGACACACCCATAATAAAAAGTAGTCTCAGATTTCCTGAATTTTCTTTTTTATCAGATGAGCTCATTCTA